TGCAAAGTCCCTTTCACCTAGTAAGATAACATATTCACAGGTTCTGGGGATTAGGGTGTGAACATCTTGTGGGGAGGGTATTATTCAGCCCACCACATGATGTTTCACTTATTCCAGTACTTCGTGTTCCAGAGGAAGAGCTGAAGCCATCACTATTTTTATTTTATTAAATCTGTTGCAAGTTTTAAAAGAATTAAAATTTTCTTTCTATTTTTCAAAATCTTTGAAAGAATATAGTCGTGTTGAATTAGCTGATTAATTGAATCATTGGCCCCAATTCTCTTTCGCTTTCTGTATCCAAACTCTTTGCCAAAGAACTTTGTAGTCCCTGTCACCTGTGGGCAGTGCACCTCCCAGCCCTTGCCTTTAGCCTTGGCCAGCTGCCTTGCTCTCCAGCCTCATTTCATGACTCCTTACTTGTGCTGGTCCAGCCACATGCAACAAGCCTTCACATAAAACATTTTTTTAGCCTTTAAAGTTAATGCCCTTCTCTTGAACTTGAGTACATTCTCTTCATCCTCCAGATCACTTTGTCAGGGAAGCCTTCCATGATTCCTGCACAAAGTTTTACTGCTTAGCAGCCATTCCCTGCGGTTTACTCTCATTAAGCCAATGTTGAGATGCAAGACTCCTGTGTTCTTGTAAGCATAATCCATTGGACTGATAGCTATTGTGCACCTACTAAATAATGTCCTTGAGAGTGTTCTCAATTCGAGAAAAATATTTCGTCTCCAAAAACAGTCCCAGTGACAGAGGTGTAAGTGCCTGCTCAGGAGTGTGGCAAGTGTAGCTCGAATCTGTTTTTCAGCCACCTGCGCATGTACTCACACACACCTGGAACATATTCCTAATGTTCCTTCTTCGAGACTGGTATGGAAGCTCATAGCACTGACTTCAAAGTTTAATTTAATGACATTAATTTATTCTTTGCTTATATATAATTTTTTCTTCTTTTGGTCAGGGTTAATTTACTTTAGAGTTTGCAGATTCTGATGGCTGCTAGAGATATGCCTGGGTCGTTGGCAACGGTCTTGACAGGAGATGGGGCTTGTTAATAACACAGACAGCTCAGATGTTCTTAAGGCATCTGACACATAAATGAAACCGAGGTACTTTCTCTACCATTTGTATAGAATCTTTTCTTCAGAAAAGGCATTTGGTGTGAAAGCCCCTCCGGGGACACTTTGCAGTGTGCTGAGACTGACTGATGGGCACAAGAGCCGGTGCTTATTGGCAAAAGCTGAGTATGTTGCCCTGCATCTCATCCTCCGCCTGGGTGACAGCTGACGCCACGGGATGGGTGTGAGATTTCATTTCCTTGTAAAACAAGGCTGTGAGAGGCAGTGTTTCTAACTATCCTGTGGAAAAGGAAGGACACTTCTAATTGTTACAAAATTCTGCTTTCGGACTTCTAAGTTCTAATTGTGCATTCTCAATGTATCATTTTCTCTGACGGACCTGAAGGACATTGTGTGCTCGTCCATAGACCATCCCTCTTCCCCAGCCCTGGTAGAGGGGAGAGTAGGGACAGCTGCTTTGATTGTTGAATCTCTGTGGAACAGGCCTCCTGGCACCATGACATCCTCCCAATTTCCTTTCTTTGCGATCCCTTTCTTTGACATAGCTTTCCTCCTTATTAAGATGTGTTAGGAGATTCAACACCTTTATATGGCGGTTTGATCACTGGTCTTTCTGAAAAACTCTCTCTTTTTGTGACAGTACTAGCAATTTCTTTCCTCGCATATAGCCTGGTTCCACATGCCATGCTGAACCTGCGATATCTGTGGTGTCAAGCTCTTGGCCTCAAGATGGGCAGTAGTGCTCTTTCTCGAAAGTAACACAACACTAGACTGAAACTCCATGAGGAGAGGCACTGTCTATACTGTTCATTGCTGTATCCTTAGCCGACTCACACACTCCTTCGGCCATGACATGTCTTCAGTAATGAATGAGCAAAGAGTCGCCTTGGCAACCTCCCTTCTCAGTTCCTACTCCTGCTTCCTGCCAACTCTCTAATGTTTTATCTCAAGTTAAGTGGCAGTAGAAAGGCTAGGTTATGTGCAAGTGCTGACCAAGTCCTTTCACCGTATTTTCTGGCATTTCTCTGAAACTACTCTTTGTCCTGAAAGTGCTGTGGCACCAATAATTTTGACATTGTGATTTATTCCCTTTACCCATCTTCTGCAATTTGGGTCTGTATTTTACAAAATATTGACTTTTGGGGTATTAGGATCCCAATTTGAATTAAATTGAACAAAAATGTGAGAACTTTGTGGCTTATTTAACCAGTGGGTACCGCTGGACTCAGGGACCACTGCAGCCAGTGTTCAAATGCTGCCAAGATTCTCTATGCGCCTATGGTCTCTGCTTCTCTCTGGAGAAACTTCTTTTGCTCTGCTTCTACAGAAGAGCAACTTTATCCCCATTCTAAGTACCAATTTGGAGAACAAGACCTTGGTAAGAAAAAGGGCAAATCCTTGAGGATCCTCTGAAATCTGCGTATCTATGTCAGGGACCAGTGCGGGACATGGTCTGAGGTCGGCCAGGTTTTCCTTCAGTGCTTCTGGAGATCCAGCTTCTGATTGGTCCTCTCCCTTTTCTGCCCCAGACCTTGTGTTATCTTCATCCTTTTATCTATCAAAACTAATTCTTAAGAATGAATTTGACATCAGTCATTTATCTGTTCTGGTGGCCTTTTATTCTACTGCATATCTTGTGCAATTTTTTTTTTGTATAAAGACATCATCTGTGAAGAATTCTATTGAACTAACTTCCTCCCTCCCTCCCTCCTTCCTTCTTGTTTGCCTTCCTTCCTTCCTTCCTTCCTTCCTTCCTTCCTTCCTTCCTTCCTTCCTTCCTTCCTTCTTTCCTTTATCCGTTTATGCTTTTATCCACTTACCCTACAAGTATTATCTAACAGTTCTGTATGTAAGTGTTGAGGACCTGATGGGGAACAAGTTTTAGTTTGTTCTCAGGGAGACTGCGGAGTAAAGTCATTGCCTCCCTGGCCAGCTGTGGGTATTAGGGTAGATCCAGGAGTTCTTCCTGGGATATCCTTTTATCTATACACAGGTCTCATGGTAAAATATTTCTGATGAACATATGCCACTTCTTGGAAGAGAATTTGAGTCTGAGGTCTGCAGAGGTTCTAGTTCAGAGGCAGACATTTAAGGTAACTCTTGCAGAAAACTACACTTTATTTTTTTTCCACAGAGGAAGTGAGGGAGGGAGTGTTAACTGTCTATATAAACAATATTCTTGGGCTGGAGAATATTGGACAGTTGCTTTTCTCAGTAGACATGCCTTTGGCGCCTCAAGATGATAGGTTTGGAAATCCTGAAATATCTTCTTTTACTGAATGTGAAATTTGAAACGGAATATTTTGATGTGATTTCCTGCACTAAATGGTACCTGAACATTTGCAGACCCAGTGTAATTAAAGTATTGCTTGATGCTTATAGGGTATGTCAAGGACTAGGGCAACTCAATGTGGGAAAATAAACAATATGAGTGAAAATGTATAGTGAGCAAAGTTGTTAGCGAAGTTTCTTTTGCTTCTAAATGCAAAATGAAACATTACAAAAAAACCTGGAAATAACTAAGCAGAACAAAAATCCAAGTGGCTTTTGCTCTGAAGTTGCAAAGCCACACATAATGATAAGGAGAATTCTCAAAACCTAGACTGTCAGCTGGGTAGATTCTTCCTCTCTTAAACTAAATTAGGTTTGTGTTAATGCTTAGTGTTTTGGTTTGCAGTTGTTTTTAAAAATAATTTGGGGCTCAATAAAGGAAATACAAAAGCTCTAATAGTTGAATTATTTGAAGATTCCAAAAGCTCTTAGATTATGTAAGTATGTAATTAAAATTACTTGGGGGCATTTTTTATTATAAAAGTAATACATAGTCATTGTTATAAATCTTAAAAATTCTGATAAGCAAAGACTGCATCTCAACTATTAATATTTTGCCATATAACACTTTAGTCTTTTCTATTTGCTTTCAAGCATTTGTCTTAATTATATAAGGAAGACAATTAAATTCAAGTTTTAAAATATAACAAAAATATACAGTACAAAAGGAAAAAGTGCTTCTTCATGAAGATAATCACTGCCAAGAGTTTGTTGTCGAGCTCCACTGTTTTCTATGCATATATATTTACCAAAAATGCAATTGTGTCATACATTCTGCTTTATGACCTTGTCTAATCATATATTTATATCATTGTCTAATCATATATTAATTTTATAAAATATACTTTTACTTCATCATTTCACATTTTTTATGGAATAAATTTAGTGACTTAATTACTCAATTCCTTATTAATATCAGGTTGTTCTAATGTTATGATCACCCTGGTAAGTAAGTATTTGTATGTAATCATAATTAGTTCCTTAGGATAAATTTCCAGAGGGAGGATTTTGGATCAAATGTTTTCTGAACTTTTATAGTTTCTCTTGAAATTAAAAAAATGTCC